AGAGGTTATCTCCCATGCTAGACAACACAGAGGGAGCTGGAGTACAAAATATACCTAGTTCTCAATGGCTCTCCTGTCCCCACTACCGTGTGGTTTTTATATTTCCATACTACCTTCCACCCAAATAGAGTTTTACAGGGTTGCTATCAGTGTGAACAAAATCTTGAAATCTGCTATTTTTACTTACTATATCGAAAACTTTCCCCTCAAGTTTCAAAGTTTAAGTTAAACTTATTTACTATTGCACTGGAAGCATGCTTGGATTTTATAAAGTGCTTGGCAGGAAATGGGCTTGGCAGTCAGCATGGAGGTGGGGAGACCATGTAAGCCTGCTCAGGACAGAGATGGTGGGGGTCTAGTTCAATATGATTTAGAAATCCTTCCCCCCAACCAGGACTTTTTTTTTCTTTTTTGTTTCTTTATTTTTTTTTTAAAGATTTTATTTATTTATTTGAGAGAGAGAGAATGAGATAGAGAGAGCACGAGAGGGAAGAGGGTCAGAGGGAGAAGCAGACCCCCTGCTGAGCAGGGAGCCCGATGTGGGACTCGATCCCAGGACTCCAGGATCATGACCTGAGCTGAAGGCAGTCGCTTAACCAACTGAGCCACCCAGGCGCCCCCAAAATTTGTTTTTTTAAAGCACCCACTGTAAGAATCCTGAATAGCTATGATTTTTTTTAAGATTTTATTTATTTATTTGAGAGAGTGAAAGATCGAGAGAGAGAGAGCACGAGTGGGAGAGGCGGGAAGGGGCAGAGGGAGAGGGAGAAGCCATCTCCCCACTAAGCAGGGATCCGACGTGGGGCTCAATCCCAGGAGCCTAGGATTATGACCTGAGCTGAAGGCAGATGCTTAACCGACTGAGCCACCCAGGCGCCTCCTGAATAACTATGATTAAGGCAAGTGTTTACAGAACCCTGGAATCTGTCAGCTATTAAAAAGTGAATTTATGTGATACGAACTAGAAAGATATGTGATAGCTTCTTACGGACAAAGAGCAAATGTCTTGTAAGTTCTAAAGTGACTTACAGTTTATATAGTATATTATTATTATTAATTTTTTTTAAAGATTTATTTATTTATTTGTCAGAGAGAGAGCAAGAGATCACAAGCAGGGGGAGCAGCAGAGGGAGAGGGAGAAGCAAACTCCCTGCTGAGCAAGGAGCCCAATGCAGGACTCCATCCTAGGATCCTGGGATCATGACCTGAGTCAAAGGCAGACGCTTAACCGACTGAGCCATCCAGGCGTCCCTATATAGTATATTATTTTATACTTTCAAAAAAGTAAGGCCTTTTTTGTAACATGTGAACAGATACGTGTTGATGTCAGAGAAAGGAGTGAAAGTACATGTCAAACCATTAATGTTACTTCAGAGGACAGATGGGAGTGGGGAGGAAGGAGAATTAGGAACTTTATTTTTATTTTATTTTTTAAATTTAAAAAAATTTTTAATTTTAATTTTTTTTTAATCAGGGGAAAGCGCGAACGCAGTCCCCCACTACCACAAATTATGCAGTCGAGTTTCCCACATTTGGGGAAATCGCAGGGGTCAGCACATCCGGAGTGCAATGGATGAGCCTCGCCCTGGGAAAACCACCTTCGTGATCATGGTATCTCCCCTGCCAGGTAAGTACATTTTATTTTTTTTAAAGATTTTATTTATTTATTTGACAGAGAGAGAGACAGGAGAGAGGAAACATAAGCAGGGGGAGGGGGAGAGGGAGAAGCAGGCTTCCCACGGAGCAGGGAGCCTGACAGGGCTGGATCCCAGGACCCTGGGATCATGACCTGAGCTGAAGGCAGACGCTTAACGACTGAGCCACCCAGGTGCCCTGAGAATTAGGAACTTTAAAAAAATATATATATATTTCAGGGTGCCTGGGTGGCTCAGTTGGTTAAGCAACTGCCTTCGGCTCAGGTCATGATCCTGGAGTCCCAGGATCGAGTCCCACATTGGGCTCCCTGTTCAACAGGGAGTCAGCTTCTCCCTCTGACCCTCTTCCCTCTCGTGCTCTCTATCTCTCATTCTCTCTCTCTCAAATAAATAAATAAAATCTTAAAAAATATATATATATATATATTTCAGCTAGAATTATTCCTAGTAGAAATGTTACTTTTCTAATAAAATACTAAAATATACATGTGTATGAAAAAAATCGCAACCCCTGGAGAGAACCTCTGTAAATAATTTGGTGTATTTTCTTCATTTGCTTCTCCATGGATCAATATTTTGTTTTTGGTTTTTTTTTTAAGATTTTATTTATTTATTTGACAGAGAGAGACACAACGAGAGAGGGAACACAAACAGGGAGTGGGAGAGGGAGAAGCCGACTTCCCGCCCAGCAGGGAGCCCATTGCGGGGCTCCATCCCAGGACCCTGTGATCATGACCTGAGCCGAAGGCAGATGCTTAACGACTGAGCCACCTAGGAGCCCTGGATCAATATTTTGTATTTTGTATATACTTGCACAGTTTTTTCTCTTAATATCATTTGCACATTTCTAGGTCATAAAACATCTTTGTAAACACTGCTTGTAGAGGCTGCTTAACATTTTATCACGTGGGCTGTTTAACCAGTCCTCTATTGTCAGACATTTATGCTGTATATGAATTTTTTCATTATTATAAATGACACTGGAAAAAATATGATTGCACATTAATTTTCAAATGCAAATGAAACAAGTGACTACTGAGTGCCTATTAAGTCTCAGGTGTGCTCTGGGCACTGGGGTTCCAAGCTTATGGTCTGGTTACAAAGACAGATCATCAAGCCTATGGTCTTCAAATGTGGTTAATTTCTTTATTTTTTTATTTTTTATTTTTTTAAAGATTTTTATTTATGTATTTGACAGAGAGAGACACAGCGATAGAGGGAACACAAGCAGGGGGAGTGGGAGAGGGAGAAGCAGGCTTCCTGACAAGCAGGGATCCCGATGTAGGGCTCGATCCCAGAACCCTGGGATCATGACCTGAGCCGAAGGCAGACGCTCAACGACTGAGCCACCCAGGCGCCCCTGTGGTTAATTTCTTTAAAAACAGAATCTGGAAGATAGATTACTACTGCTCCGAGGACGTACTGATCATTGTAAAAGATTTTTATTTTTGACTCACACTGTCAAATTCACGTTCAGAAATTTTGAGGCAATTTGTATACTTCCAACAATATATGAGAGTGATTACCCACCCCTACGTGGTGTTTGAAGGTTATCATTTGAAACCAATTCCTGATTTGGTAGAAAACAGAACACCCCCCCAACCCTCTGTATTCTGTAGTTTTAATTTGCATGTCTTTGGTTATTAGAACATTGACATTTTTCCAGTAGTTTCTTTCTTAAAGATTTTATTTATTTATTTGAGACAGAGAGGGAAAGAGAGAGCACGAGTGGTGGGGAGGGACAGAGGGAGAGAAGCAGACTCCCCGCTGAGCAGGCCCCTGGGATGATGACCTGAGCCAAAGGCAGACACTTAACCCACTGAGCCACCCAGGTGCCCTAGTTTCTTCAAATAGTTGTCTTCTCTACTAAACGCTATTCATGGAATATGCCTTTTCTTCCTTACCAATGCTTGATATTTCTCTTTTCATTTATTATGTTCTTACCATTTCTAGGATCTGTTTCTAGGCTTTTTTTTTTTTCCTGGTTTGTACCACACGGGGTTGACTACAATAGCTTTATAATGTAAGTATCTGTTAGAGCAAGTCCACCCTCATTTGTGGGAAATGATAGCTGTTTTTGGTTATTTATTCTTGCAGATGAACTTAGAAATTTGTCAAGTCTGGTTAGGATTACATTAATTTTATGCATTACGTTCAATATACATTTACATTTAATATTCGTTAAATTTATACATTAATCTGGAAAGAACAGTCGCATAACCAGCCTTCTGAGGGGGATTATTGAATTGGCTTACTGTTTTGGCTAGTGCTAGGGCACAACTTCCCTGCATGGCAAGTCTGGGTTCTTCTCAGACTTTGACTGTGGTGTATTCTTTTGTTTGGTGTCCAAAGTAGAAAGACGTCCATTAAGTAACTCCCTAGAGAAGTGGCTAAGGCTCAGGGGCAGCTCCAGCCTCTCAGCAGGCCATCTGAACGATTGCCACGAGCCTGGGTCCAGGCGGGCCAGCTTAGGCACAGTCGCTTGACCCCAGGGGCCTGCGAGGGGCTGCGGTCACCGGAAGGGGCTGGCTGAGCACCGCGTGCTCGCGACCTCCGCGCCCTCTGAGCAGGTAAGGCCAGCCCGCGGGGCTGCAGGAGCCGGGACCCGAAGGGGCGCTGGGGTCAGGGGTCAGGGAGTCCCCTTCCCCTCCGGACCCAAACGGCCTGGGCCTCCTCGGGAGCCGAGGTCATGCCTCCTGCAGTCCCGGGGGTGCTGCGCCTTTGACCGTGGGGGTCCCGGCGGGGGGCACAGAGCCGGGGTGCGAAGATGTCCTGGAGGTGGGGCGCACGCAGGTTGCTAAGGGGTTCCTGATGGGGGCCTCCGAGAGGTCAGGGTCAGGCTCAAAGGGGGTCAGCTCTGAGTGTGCGGGCTGGGCGTGGGCCTGTGGGGGTCCAGAGTCCTCCTCCCGGGGGTGGGTGGGCGGTCCGGGCGTTTCGGTGGTGCTGTCGCGGTCCCGCCCCTGCACCTGGGGTCGGGGTCGGGCGGGGCGCCCACGGTCGGGGTCCCCGGCTCCTCCGCGCGCCCCTCCCCCACGGCGCCGTCCAGCAGGCCTGTCGCCCCGCCCTGCCCAGTGTTCGGACCGCTCACCAGCTCCGCCCCCTCAGGCCCCGCCCACACCAAGAACCCGCCCCATCCCGCCCCCGGCCCCGCCCCGCCGCTCGCCCATTCAGATGTGGGTCAGGGGTGAGCGGGCGGCGCCGACGTCACAAGCTTCCAAGATGGCGCCGGGCGGGCGGCTGTGAGCGGCGCTCGGGGCGCGCTGGGCGGGGAGCCGAGCCGGGCCGGCGGCGGGCTGACGGGGCGGGCACAGGCGGCGCGAGTCGGGCGCCGAGGACGAGGGGCCGCGGGCAGGGCCGGCCGGCCGGCGGGCGGAGCGCCGCCGCCGACGCACACGAGGT